TCCCATGATGAGGAACTAGCACTTTTCATAACCACACTTCCAATTTTGGATTCATATGCCTGTGCTCTTTATGTCAATTTGTTTTTCCTGAATCAGCTGGTATTGTCTGTGCCCATTTTAGGTGCAATGTTCAATGAGACTTGACAAAAGTGTAAATCCATGTAACTACCAGCACAATCAAGATACAGAACATTGCCATCATTCTAAAAGTTGACTCATGCTCTTTGCAAACAGTCACTCCCACCAACCGCAGGGAAAACACATTCCTATCACTATAAATTAGTTTTCTCTAGTCTGAAAGTTTATGCAAATGTAATCATACAGTACTTATTATATATTTACGACATACTTACTTTGCTCAACATGTTTTTGAAAGCCATTCACAGTGTTGCTTGTATTAGGAGCTTCTTGATACACACACACACGTACGTTGTGATTTTTATTACAGGTGTGTCCTGTGGAGGCTCTAGAGAACAAACCATTTCCTTTCCTTGTTCAGCTTCTAGAGCCTCAGTCCCTGCATTCCTTGGCTCATGAACCCTTACTTTATCTCCAAAGCCAACAATGTACCGTCTTCAAATCTCTCTCCACCTTGGTCTCATTGCCCTCTCCTATGTGTTGTTATCTCCCTCTCCCTCCCTCTTCTAAGGAAGATTTGTGATCATGCTTAGGACCCACAAAGATAAGCCAGAATAACCTCCCATCTCAAGATCCTTAATTACATCACATCTGCAAAGTCCATTTGGCCCCGTAAGGTAATATTTATAGGTTCCAGTGATGAGGACCTGGAAATTTGGGGGAGGCATAATTTAGCCTACTACAATGACCAAGTTAGAGAGTGAAGAATCCAGTTAACATCCAGGAAATATATCATACCATGGCATTTTAAGGGTTGTATTTTGCTTTTATTGCAACTGATTTTTTGTGCACAAATGACATTCATTCTTACTCCATGTCAACTCAGGAACTAAATTATATTTTACATTAAATGTTAATAATCACAATCAAATTTGCCTGACTCTCAGGTTGCATTTCTTCCAGTCTATTATTCCTTACACCTGCAGTTCTGCATGTGAATTCTATCAAGAAGTTATCTTGCCTAAGCATTTATGATCTTTTCCCCATTCTATATTTTGTGACAAACTTCAACTCTCCAAGCAGCAGCTATTCCTAAAGTTCATTGGGTGGGTTCACAGTAGATGTTCCCAGGGTTTGAATCTTATCTCTGCTAATCACCTGTTGGGCGAAGTTTAAGTTACTCTACATTTCAGTTTGACATTTCAGTTTGACCAAATATTTGATAAAATAATACAGAGTGGCAAACCAATAAATAGTGACTACATACGTGTGTGTATTTGTTTTATATAAATATATAATATACATTTAATTGCAATAAGAACACTTAACAAGAGATCTACCCTCAACAAATTTTTAGATGTACAATACATAATTGTTGACTATAGGTACTGTGTTGTACAACAGATCTTTAGAGCTTATGCATCTTGCCGACTGAAGCTTTACTAACTCCCCATTTCCCTCTTCCTACATCATCCAGCAAACATCATTTGATTCTGTGAATTTTACAAATTTAGATAATTCAGATAAGTAGAATCACGTACTATTTGTCTTTCTGTGACTGACTTATTTCACTTAGCATAATGTTCTCAAGGTTCCTCCATGTTGTCTCATATTGTAGAATTTCCTTTTTTTAGAGGTTGACTAGTATTGCATTGCATGAACATGCATTTTCTTTATACATTCATATGCCAATGAATATTTACAGTTTCCACGATTTTGCTATTGTGAATAATGTTGCAATGAATATGGAAGTGCAAACATCTCCTGAAGATCCTGATTTCAATTCTTTTGGATAGATACTACTGTTTCCCATAGTGACTGCACCATTTTGTATTCCCACCAACAGTGTGCAAGGGTTTCAATTTCTCCACATCCTCACCAACACTTACTGTCTTTTGTTTTTTGGGTTGTTATAATAGCCATCTTCACAAGTCTGAGCTGATACCACATTGTAGTTTTGATTTGCATTTCCCTGATGATTAGAGATGGTGAGCATTTTTTTTCATATAACTGTTGGCCATATTTATGTCTTTTTTGGCAAAATATCTATTCGAGCCTTTAGCTCATTTTTAATTGGGTTATTAGTTTTTTCACTCAAGTTATAGAAGTTCCTTATGTATTTTGGAGATTAATCCCTTATCAGATATATGGTTTACAAATATTTTATCCCATTTTGTAGGTTGCCTTTTCACTCTGTTGATTGCTTCCTTTGCTGGGTAGGAGCTTTTTAGTTTAATGTAGTTCCACTTGTTAATTTTTGCTTCTGTTGCCTGTGGTTTTGGTGTCATAGCCACGAAATCATTGCCAAGATGAAAGTCCTAGCCAGAGCAATTAGGCAAGGAAAAAAAAAAAAAAAAAAAAAAAAAAAGGCATCGACATCAGCAACAAACAAGTAAAAGTGTCCTGGTTTGCAAATGACATGATCTTATATAGAGAAAACCTTGAGGACTCCATAAAAATACTGTTTAATAAATGAATTCAGAAAGTTGCAGCATACAAAATCAACATACAAATATCTGACTATGTGCAGCAGCTCATGCCTATGATCCCAGCACTTTGGAAGGCTGAGGCAGGAGGATCCCTTGAGGCCAGGAGCTCAAGACCAGCCTGGGCAACAAAGCAAAACCCTTTCTCTACAAAAAATAAAAATAAAAAAATTAGCCAGGCATGGTGACACAGGCCCGTAGTCCCAGATACTCAGGAGGCTGAGGCAGGAGGATTGATGGAGCTTAGGAGTTTAAGGCTGCAGTGAGCTTTGATTGTGCCACTGCACTGAAGCCTGGGCAACAGGGTGAGACTCTGTCTCTAAAAAAAAATTAAAATTAAAATTAAAAAGTTATCCTTTCAGTAAGAAATAGCTTATGGTAGAAGAAAAAAAATCAGTTGCTTTTCTGTACATTAGCAATGAACCATCTGAAAAGGAAATTAGAAAAACAATCCATTTTCATTGGCACCAAAAAGAATAAATATCTAAGAAAAAACTTAACTGAGGAGGCGAAATGCATGTATACTAAAAACTAAAACATGAATGAAAGAAGTTAAGACACAAACAAATGGTAAGACAGCCTCCATTAGAAGACCTAATATTGTTAAAATGTCCATACTACCCAAAGCAATCTACTAACTCAGTGTAATCCCTACCAAAATCTAAATGACATTTTTTACAGAAATAGAAAATATAATTTTAAAATTCATATAGGGCCACAAAAGACCATGAATAGCCAAATCAATCTTGAGAAAGGACAAAACTGGAGGCATCACATTTCCTGATTTCAAAATGCAAATCTAGAGTAATCAAAACATTATGGTACTGACATAAAGACGGACATACAGAAGAACAAAACAGAATAGAGAATCCAGAAATAAACCCACACACCATGATCAGCTGATCTTCACAAGCATGCCAAGAATATACAATGGGAGAAGCATAGTCTCTTTAACAAATGGAAACTGGAAAACTGGATATGCACATGCAATCAACTGAAATTAAACCCTTATCTTAACCATACATAAAAATTAACTAAAAATAGATTAAAGACGTACAACATAAGACATGAATTTTTAAAACTCCTAGAAGAAAACATAAAGGAAAAGCTTCAAGACTTTTTCGTTATATTGTGATGTCTTTCTGACTTAACATATATAGTCATAATAGTGAAGCTGAATTTTCAGAAACTTCACACCAAAGCTATCATTGATGTGATTCATTTCAATTTCACCTGTTTTTATAGCATCTACTATAAGCAAGGATCTGGGCACTGCAGGGGATCCACTGTGGAATAGAATCAACCCCACACCTTAATAAGGTCATGGTCTAGTGGTGAAAGCAGGTAATGACAATACAAGGTGATTAGAACCATAAAATCAAGGAGCTTTAAATATGATATTTGATGGTATTAAGAAATTATTAATTTTGTGATGTGTGATAATAGCATGGTGATTATGTTAAACCAACCCTTATTGATTAAAGACTCAATTCATTTTCTATTGCCACCGTAACAAATTACCACAAAACTGACGGCTTAGAAGAGCACAAATCTGTTCTCCTAATGTTCTAAAAGTCAGAAGTTTGAAAGAAGTCTCATAGGTCTAAAATCCAGGCATCCACATGACTGGTCCTTCTATAGGCTCCCGGGTGTGAATCCATCCTTGGCCTCTTCTAGCTCCTGGAGGCTGTGGCCAAGATTCCTTGACTGGTGACCACATCACTCCAGTCTGTTTCCATTGTAACTGTCACATTGCAGGTCTCTGATTTTAGTCTGCCTGCCCTCTACTTCTAAGGATCCTTGCGATTACATGTGTCTCTCCTAAATCACATCCAGGATGATCCCCCATCTCAAAGTCTTTAATTTAATCACATCTGCAAATCTGTTAATATAAAGTCTCCTCTTCACAGGTACTTTATCTTAGATGGGGGTGTTGGGAGGACTTTTTTTTTTTTTTTTTTTATACGGAGTCTCATTTTGTTGCCAGGCTGGAGTGCAGAGGTGCAATCTCAGCTCACTGCAACCTCCGCCTCCTGGGTTCAAGCAATTCTCCTGCCTCCCAAGTAGCTGGGACTACAGGCGTGTGCCACCAAGCCTGGCTATAGAGACTGGGTTTCACCACGTTGGTCAGTATGGTCTCGATCTCTTGACCTCATGATCCGCCCGTCTCGGCCTCCCAAAGTGCTGGGATTACAGGCGTGAGGCACCATGCCCAGCTGGGAGGGCACTTTTTGCACAGGAAAGCAGAAATGCTTATCAGATGTAATGGTTTTCGGAGTTATTGCCTAAGAGTTTCTCTAGAACAATCCATATTTTGTAGGACACAATTGCAGCCCAGAGGAAAATCTCACTTTGTAGCAACGTATCTTGGCTTCTAGAAAAACAAACAAACAAAGAGGCCCACAAGGGTTTATTTTAAAATATGGTGAGGGAAATGTAGGCAAGCCGAGAGAGATCTTGCTTTTGAAGAACTAGGCCTGATAGCCAGTGGACCTGGTATCGTCCCAGGGTTTCTGGACTCTCACAAGCTCACAGTTCATGGTTAAGTTCTCTGAGAAAGGATTTCCACCTCGGCATAGGCCCAACCCTCTCCCCATCCCTCTAGCTAAGGACCAGAGTGTCCGCAGGGCGGCGCCCCGCGCCAGGATTTGGTTCCTTTTACCTCCGGGTGCCTCTGTTCTGCGCCTTCCAGCCTTTCTTCTCCCTGGCTTGCTTCGCTTTCTGAGGTGAGGGTACCTATTTCTTTTGTCATTTTGCACAGAAAATGTAAACGTTTCCTACTCTAAAAAGGTCATCTTTAAAATTTTCTTATAAAAACAATAAGATATTCCTACAATTTTTCTCTCTCTAAATGCTATTACTGCGGTATAAAAACAAAAAAGGAACAAGTTCCTCAAGGATTTCATTTTCACGGATGCAACTGTAATTATTCATGTTACCAGAAGATGGCAGTACACCATTAATAACAGTGGCGCATCCCTTAGAACAAAATGGCTTGTTCAATTTTTTGGAGCTTGGTAGACCTAGGTACTAAACAAATGTTAGTGGATCTGTTGCTAAGTGCAAGGTTATTCTGGGTTGCGTTAGTTAATACAAGAGACAAAAGCTGCTGTGATGGAGAGTGCTAAACTAAACTTGCAAGCACAATTAAGAAGAGAGAATTGTCCCAGTCTTGTCTTTTAAAATTTCATCTCACCCCTCCTCATTCATTGAAAGTCACATTTCTGAGAGAAAACATTATAGCAAAAGGAAGGAAGGAAAACAAAATACAACAAAATTCTCTTATAAATGAGGATACTTTAAAAAGGCAAAGTGATTTGCCCAAACACACTGGTAATGATTAGCTCCAGGTCTGTTGACCAACATTTTCTCTATCCATGGTACCACACTGATTCTCGAAATGACAAATTCAGGGATTAAGAATTCCAGTCCTTGCCCCATCACTGACCGTTTGTGATCTCTTAAGCAAATTATTTAATTACTTTTATGTAAAAAGTAAGGCACTGGACTATGTCAGTTCAAGCATTTTTACCAAGAGAATTTTTTTTTCTTTTTTTCATTTTAAGACTCCTATTCAGAAGTTCAAAACCTAAAATAAAAGAAAATGCTAGAGTTGAAAGAGATGTTTTCCTCTTGAGTTTACTCCTTTCTCCCCCAGAATCTTAGGCTTCCTCAGAGCACAGTTTGTAAACTATCAGACTGGGTGATCTTGTAAATACCTTTCAGCTCTAAAGATTAATTATCCCTCAAGTTCATTGAATTAATTGTGAGATAGCAATAAAATACCCTCAAAAGTTATTACTGTTTGATAAAAAACAAAAGCAACAACAACAAAAAGCTAAATCCTGAAGATGATGACAAACTGGTATTTGTTATCTGTTAAGAACAAAGAGAAACTGACTTTTAAAGCACTTTCAATATTTTTCAACACGATGCCTCTGAATAATGACATTATCTTCATGTTTTACAGGGTCCTTAAACATGCTTGGCCAGGTTTCCGCTGTGAACATCCTCTGGCACATGCTCTCAGAAATCAGAAGGTTGCCTGTGGAGAACACTGTGGCTCCCTTGCATTTAGGCAACAGACTTTTGGCTGTAGTAAGTGCCAAAAGCCAGAGGTGGTATGGCTTATGCTGCACCATGGTGTATTGGGCCAAAGAGCTCTGGAAACCATTCAACCACATGGCCATCAGCAGTGATGGGAAGGACAACTTAAGGTCAAAGGACTATGGGAGGGTGTCTAAGATGGGCCTTAGAATTAGTCTTCCTGGGTTTACAACCGAGCTCCAACACCTTTGACAAGTTACTTTGGTTTCTAAATTTTAATTTGGGATAATAATATTACTTCCTAGGAATGAAAAGACCTCACAGGGCAAATAATAGCAGTGTATGAACACCAAGTAAAAGTTTCTGTTTTCTTTCACAGGATTCCTGCAAATATCTCCAGGCTGGGCTCCTCATCGGTCCTCCACCTTTCAATCCATCCTCCACACAACGGACTGAATGACCTTTAAAATATATGTCAGATGACATTGCTGCATGTTTAAACCTTTCAATGACTCTTTCTTGCACTTCCAAGAAAATTCACATTCCTTACACTGACCTACAGGCACTGCATGATCTTCCTTATCCACTATCTGACTTTAATTGGCATTCGCGGACCATATTCCAGCTGCACAGGCCTTCGGACAGTTCCGGGAATAGCCCAAACCTTTTCTAGTCTTTAGAACTCTTGTGTGTACTTTTTTTCCCTTTCCCAGAACACACTGGCATTTCCTAAAGTCTCAGCTAAAATATTTCTCCTCAGAGGGGTCTTCTCTGGCCACCCTATCTAAAGTATCAACAATAAAGTACACCTTATTCTTTCGCACAGGGCTTGGAAATGTTTGACCTGTAGGCCAAACTGGCCCACCATGTTGTTTTTATAAATAAAATTTTATTGGAAAGCAGCCATTTTTATTCATTTAAGTATTAACCATGACTGTTCTGGTGTCACAGTGGCCAGGTTGAATAGTTGCAAAGCCTTTTATCTGGCCCTTTATAGAAAAAGTTTATCAATCTCTGATCTATAAAGTAAACATGCACTCCCATCAGCATCTCTTCATTTCTGTATATTCTCCAGTACCTTCAGGTAGTTGCTTTTTAAATTATGTTTAAGTTTTATAGTTATTTTCTTCAGAGTAAGTCATCCTGTGGAATCTTTTTTCCATTATACCCAGAAGCCGATTCTAGTTATTTAAAAAATTCTGTTCAATAGTTCCAATATCTGAAACATCTCTGAGTCTTGTTCTATAGTTGATTCATCTCTTGAAAATGGGTCATTTTCTCCTATTTTTAACTTTATATATCTTATATTTTGTATTGAATGTCTAATATTATGTGTAGAAGAATGATGAAAACTGAGGTAAATAGTATTTATATGTAGTAATAGGCACCAGTTAACATTACTGATTGTTACTGTGGTAACAATGGTTACCACATTTCTGTCTGCACAATAGTATGGCAGGTTGTGTCACTGTAGTCAATAGTTATGCAGAGTTTGGTATTTTATGTTGCTTTTATAACCTGTATACCACAGTCTTCAAAATCCTTGACAGGATATTTCTGTTGCCTTGTGTCGTGTGAGCATCTCGTGGAGGCCTGTGGAAACAAGCCTGCACATAAGTGTGAGCTTACCTTGCATGGGCTTATGGTTATTTTAAGTTGATATGCTAGCTCACACTTGGCTTTTAGTATGTTTTCTCATTTTTAGCTGACTTTCTCTTAGTTTATTTAATGGCAACCGCCTTTCTCTCATGTTCTGTCAAAACTGAAATAGTCCTTGGACCCCATCTCTCCTCAAAGATTCTTGTTACCCTTTGGAATCAGTTTGTTTATTTGGCTTACAATGTCAGCTCTCTGATATGATCAAGAAAAGGTAGAGTTTTATAGATTATCTGCATTTTCTCATAGGTAGAGTGACATTCTTGTGTAGCTTTCTAAACAAAAGCAGAATGCCAGTACCCACATTCTAAAATTTGCCCTCCTTTCAAATGGACAGAGACAAAAACATAATTTATGCCAGTAAGGTTAAAAAAGAAGCATGGCATTGTAAATTGACAGTTGGTGCTATACACTGAATGTTCCCCACCCCCACCCCCTTCTGCCCCAACCAAATTCATATGTTCAAACTTAATCCCCAGGGTGATGGTATTTGGAGGTGGGGCCTTTGGGAGGAGATTAGATCATCAGGGGAGAGCCCTCATGATGGCATTGGTGCTTTTATGAAAGAGGTCCCAGAGGGCTCCCTCCTCCCTCCTGCCATGTGATGACACAGCAAAAAGATGTGATTTATAAAACAGGAAGCACACACCGAATCTGCTGGTGTCTTGGTCTTGGACTTGCAGCCTCCAGAATTGGGACCATTAAATTTCTATTGTTTATAAGCCACCCAGTCTATGGTGTTTTTTCATAGCAGCTCCAATGGACTGAGACAGTTGGGTAGTAAATTTGTATAACCAGTCTAAGAAGGATTTTGAAAATATGTAGAAAGGGTCGTACAGTCTGATCATTTTGATGTAATATTTCTACTTCAAGTGATCTAATCAGAGATCCTGAGAAATATTCTTATAGAAGGATATTCACTACAATATTATTTATTTATTTTAATTGACAAAAATTGTATATATTATTTATAGTATATTGTTTTGAAATATGTATACATTGTGAAATGGCTAAATCAAGCTAATTAATATAAACATTATCTCACATACTTACCCTTTTTGTGGTAAGGATAATTGATATCTATTCTTTTAGCAATATTTGAGAGTACAATACATTGTTATTAATGATAGCCACCATGTTGTACAATAGCTCTCTTTAACTTATTTCTCTGATCTAACTGAAATGTTGTATATTATGAACAGTATCTCCTCACTCTCATCCATAGCCCCTGGTAACTCTACTTCTATAAGTTCAAGATTTTTAGATTCTGCATATAAGTGAGATCATGTAGTATTTGTCTCTCTGTGCCGGGCTTATTTCACTTACCTAAAGATCTCCAGGTTAGGATCTCCAGGTTCATCCATATTGTCTCAAGTGACAGAATGTCCTTATTTTTTCTTAGGCTGAATTGTATTTCATTGTACATATACCACATTTTCTTTATCCATTCATTTGTTGATGGACACTTAGCTTAGTTTATGTGAATAATGCTCCGGTGAATATGGTAGCACACGTATCTCTTCCATCTACTGATTTCATTTCCTTTGGATATACCCAGTGTTGGGTTTGCCAGATCACATGGTAGCTTGATTTTTAATGTTTTTAGGAACCTCCATACTGTTTTTCATAATGACCAAGCTAATTTACATGCTCAACAACACACCACACTATTATCAAATAATGGAGACAAACTAGATAACCAACAGTAAAAAAGTATTTTTAATAAATTGACATCCAACCATATAAAGAAATGTTATGCAAATATTAAAATACTTCAGTGAAGAATATTTACTGAGACAACGATCATAATATAATGTTAAATATCAAAGCCAAAACTATATATATAAATTTTATGTATATATATACACATACACACATTCAATTTTGTTGGGAGTTACTAACAAACTTTGAAATTAAGTTTTTTTTTGTGTGTGTGTGTATATATATTTGTGTGTGTGTACACACACACAAATATATATATACCCAACTTTAAAAAAACTTTAAAAAACTAAGTTTTTTTGTGTATATATATATATTTGTGTATATATATACACACACACAAATATATATATATATGTATATATCTCACTGGTGCCTATAAGTTTTTTGTGGAGATATATATATACACACACACACACACACACACACACACATATATATATATCACTGGTGCCTGTAATTTTTTTTGAGGATATATATATATTTTGTGTGTGTGTGTGTGCATGTATATATATACACACACATATACATACACATATATATATACACATATACATATTTACAAAGTTTATTAGTTACAACAGTTAAAACAGTATATTTTCAGTGAAGAAATCTGAAAGACAACACCTTAATCAAGCAATTATAGTTAATATCACCAGTAACGGGATAGAATTCTGTTATGTGCCTCCTAACACGATGCACTGAGAAAGATGCAATATTTTGTGGTGTTCCTGCCAGAAATGCAAAGCCTGAGTCTAATTATGAGGAAGTATTAGACTAACCTAAGCCGAAGGACATTTTACAAAATAGATGGTCTGTACTCTTCAAAAGTGTCATGGCCAAAAATGTAAGTGTGAGGAAGTTTCTACATTAAAGGAGACTAAAGAAGCATAACAGTTAAATACAAAGTGTAATCCTGGATTGGATTCCAGGCCAGAAACATGAAATACATACATATGTACATACCAACATACTCATATACACATACATGCATATAATTTATTTTTGTTACAAATGGTATTATTGGGACAGTTGGCCATGTTTGAATAAGGTCTAGGGATTAGACACTATTTCTGTGCCACTGTTAATTTGATTTTGATGCTATATTGTGGTTATATAAAATAATGCCCTTGTGTTTAGGAAGTTAACTGAAGTACACTAAAGTATTTATGCATAATTGGTCATGATGTCTGCAACTTACAACTTATTCTCAAGTAGTTTAGAAAAAAATTGTCTATCTTTGTGATATTGCGATATAATAAGAAATGTGTATTTGGTCTTCATCCCAGGTTCCTGGCACAAAACTTCTAACACCCTTGTATCTTCCTGAATAATAGAACTGCTAGGAAAATCATTTGTTGTAATAGTCTATCTTAGTTCCTACTTGATTCCTGACAGAAGAGCTTCTAAGACTTTGGAACCTCTGGAGTGATAAGAGTATCTTTTTTTGTTTGTTTGTTTAGACAGAGTCTCACTGTGTTGCCCAGGCTGGAGTGCAATGGCACAATGTTGGCTCACTGCAACCTCCACCTCCCAGGTTCAAGCGATTCTCATGCTTCAGCCTCCCAAGTAGCTGGGATTACAGGCGCCCACCACTACATCTAGGTAATTTTTTGTATTTTTAGTAGACTGGCCAGGCTGGTCTCGAACTCCTGACCTCAGGTAATCCTCCTGCCTCAGCCTCCCAAAGTGCTGAGATTACAGGTGTGAGCCACCATGCCCGGCCAAGAGTATCTTTTTGTATGTTGATGAGATGAATGGTGGCCGAAAGCCCCTAGATAGCTCCACAATGAAGGCTGTTGCCAGAGGAACCAATCATGTGATTAGAGAATTGGGACTTTCAGCCCCATTCCCACCCACAACCTCTGGGGAGGACAGGGAGGCTGGAGATTGAGTTCAATCACCAATGGCCAGTGACTTAATTAATCATGCCTGCATGATGGAGTCTGCAGAAAAGTCCTAAATGAAGTGGTTTGGGGAACTTCTGAGATAGTGAACATACAGAGGTGCTAGGAGGGTGGCCGGCCCAGAGAGGGCATGAAAACTTCATGCTCCTTCCCCCATACCTTGCCCTCCATACCTCTTCATCTGGCTATTCATTTGTATCCTTTATAACAAACCAATCAATGTAAATGAAGTGTTTCCCTGGGTTCTGTAAGTCATTGTAGCAAATTATTGAACTGAAGAGGGGGTCATGGAACCCCTAGTTTACAACCAGCCAGTCAGAAGTACAGGTGGAAACCTGGGACTTGTGATTGGCATCTAAATTGGGAGCGGTCTTGTGAGACTGAGTTCTTTAACTTGCAGGATCTTAAACTAACTCCAGGTGGATAGTGTCAGAGTTGAAATGACCTGTAGGTCACTCAGCTGGTGTCCACAGAAAACTCAAGTGCTGAGTGTAGAAAATTCACATATTTGGTGTCAGAAGTATTGTGCATATCCAAGAAGACAAGTTTTCCCTTTTTAATCTCTATTTTTATCTACCGAGCTATTATCTATATAGAAGAAAGTAAGATTAAATGATAAAACAAATGTGGTAAGATGTTGATAGTTCTGAATTTGGGTTAAAAGTATACAAAAAGACTTTATACTATTTTTGCAACTTGTCTACAAGACTAAAATTGTTGTAAAATATCATGCTATAATATGTAGAACATAGGTTTTAGAGTGGCCAATGGAAAATATTATGATTCAGTGCTCACGCATCAATATTATTTCATGGTAAATTATATTTACCTTTGCAGGATGAAGCACAGTAAATTCATAGAAAGGCATAATAGTTTTGTGCCCCACCCCCATATACACAAAGTAAAAAAGAGCTGCAAGTCTCTGTAGAAACATGTTAACCGTGTTTATCTATAAGCTACATATTTTCTGGTGTTACTCATTTTCTTCTTTAAACTTATTAATCTTTCTAAATTTTTATAATGAGAGCTTAATATTTTTATTATTGAATTCCTGACTTTCTTCTTTTCTACAGTTTCAGAAAAGAAAGAAGCAAAGAGGGGAAAAAGAAGAGAGAGAGAGAAAGAGAGATGAGCCCTAGTAGAGTTCATGGCTGTCTGTGAGCCATTGAATGCACCTGAATGGAGAAGTGCTTCAGGTTGCATAATATCAGCTGATGCTTACAAACTGTTACTTCATGGTCAATCATGATGTGGCTGCCTCCAAGGGAATACAGCTGTTCAATACTCCAGGCTTGCTAATTTGGGGATCATTGGATCTTGCCTGGTGGCTAAACCCTAGGTCTGTTCATACCACCACAAAGAGAGAACCTCATCTCCAAAGGCATGAAGTGGTAAGACACCAAGACAGAATGATGCCACTGCCACCTGGAGCACAATACAGTGAAGCATGTGTGCAGAATTAATACTGGCACAATGCTGGACAAGTGACAGACAAATTTGTGCAAGCTTC